GGTGACCACAATTCACGAATACCGCATAATCACACTGCCAACGTGAGGTTTCCACAAACATTGTGTGTGTTTGTGTTTAGGGCTTCAATTCTCCTTCATGATGCTGCAGCGCGTTTACTCTGTATCATAATAATCTGCTGCCTCTTACTCGCTTGTCTGGAGCTGGAATAAAAGGCCATTTTGTAAAACGTTACTAACTGGCACTGACATGGAGCATTTATTTGGCATACATGTAAATGCCCTCACATACAAGTATAATGAGTTGCAAATAATGATCTGTGTATCGCAGTGTCAAGAATTATGTGTTATATAAGAGCATTATAACTAGACAGGGGAGACTCAACTCTAAAGTGATATTTGATGTTATATAGTGAACAGAAAATGCTTACAGATAGTGACATAGCCATGGCCAGTTGCAGTTCTTCTTCCTCCTCCAACCAGAAGCATGTTTTCCTCTCTCCTTCAGCCTCCTCCTTCTCAAGGCGGAGCTTTTTCCCATCAAGACCTTCAAGTTCCTCATGGCAGTAAGCTTCCTCACATACATACACACACACGCACACACGCACAAACACACATATACATACACGCACAAATCATACATTAAAAAAAGAAGAAAATCACGTACCGCTTCGAGCAGGTCGAGCAGCGCGAAGTTAGGCTTCAGCGTCCGGAACTGGTCGCGGTCCTGCCGCAAGGGCACTGGAACACACTCTTGCGGTTCTCCGTCCCTTGAAGGAAAGATTTTCATTGCCTTTCCATTTACTCATTAAGCCTTCTCTAAATGTATCTATTCATTTCACTTATTTATCTACATTTTTCTAATTTATTATTTCTAAGACATTCTTATCTATTCTATCTACGTATGTATCTATTTATTCATCTACTTATTCATTTATTCATTCATTTAAACGTTATTTCACATACAAACACACATATATGTATATATTTTACCCTGTCACCCGTTGTATCTTCTCTTACAGCAACATATTAATTATTGCAGAAATAAAACAAACAAAAAAACGAGGCACCAAGACACTGAAAACAAAGACACAACGCAACGCCAAACAAAAAATAAATAAATAAATAATAAATAAAAAATAAAACAAAGAAGCACAAACCAGGAAAGAAACCAAACATTAAGCCAAACACAGATTTCACAGAAAGACAAACAACAGAAACCTTACTAAGGCATTCCTCGCAGAAGGTGTGGCCGCAGCTGGAGAAGATAAGCGGACGACGATCGTGCGCGTTGTAGGTCGACCTGCAGACTGCACAGGTTAGCCCTGAGGGAGCCTGCAAAACACGGTGTCCTGTATATTAGCCCACAGTTTCTGCCTGGCCCATTTCGCTCTGTTAATTAACTGTTTCTCGGGGGAGAGGTGCCCAAGAACATGGCGTCACCAAGCAAACGTCGCAACTGAACCGGCTGGGACAATATGTGTGTATCTATAGCGCTGCCAGTCTAAACATGACGCGGTTCGCCTATTAACGCGGTAGACTGGCTGGCGCCACAGGCAGGTCAATCTGTCAGGGGAACTGCAGCCGAAAGGAGTCTCCGCAAGACGAGGCCTCTGGGGGTGATCTCCGTGCGTTCCCAAAAGGTGGGAAGCTACGGACGTGCCCGACCTCGGCTCATCCTCAATACGACCGCGCCGTATTAAGGATGAGCCCAAAGGGCGAGGCCCTTGAGGCGGAGTCGACGATCGTTGATGGCCCTTGCCTCTGTCGGGTGGAGCTCGCATGCAGTTATCAGAGCGCCTTAAGTCGCCTCATATTTCGTCTGATTTTGTGCGTTTCAGGCGAGGGTCTTTTAATACATGCCGTGAACTTTATCCTTTCAGATCTCCATTAAAAAAAACATTCATCTTAGCTAAAGACTAGAGAGTGGTTGACAGCGGAAGCACACACGAGAAGGCTAATTCTCAGCCATTACTACATAATGGAGGGATTTAAAGTGACGTGACTTTAGTTGTCATGAGCTTGTGAAAAGCATTTCCCTATATGGCTCGATGCAGGACAAGATCGAAATGGTCTTTAAGGTCTTTTATAGGATTATTATGCAGTAATGAAGGCAAGCAGGTGGAAGGCGGTCGGATTTGTAGCAACAGTTTTGATGTTTCGCGGGACATTATCTTATCTACGCCATCGAATGAACTGGTAAAGGTTTGTCAAACTATAATTTCATGGCATTAATCAGTTCTAATGGCTTTCGGTTTCTATCACAAACATTTTTTTATGTCAGTTTTTTTTTTTTATTATTAAATAGCTATTTGAAGTTAGAACTTTTTATAAGCTAAAAAGGAAAAGAAACACATGGGTATGTGCCGTCGAGGGCTCAGGACAGTTACTGTTGTCGAACTGGTTTCATTCTGTTCTGAAGCACTGAAAAACGTATTTTTGTTGTATTTCTTCCTATTATGAGAAAAAAATAAGCAAAAGTTAAAACGATAGAATAAGTGAATTCTTCAAATTTTATTTTCGATCAGCTAATGCCCCCAAAAAGATTAAACGAGATATTTGCATATCGTTCACAGATTTCTCCCATTCGCCATTTTTTATTTATTTCCAAAGAAAAAAAATACGTACAACGATACTATTGCTACCTTTTAAACCTACAAAGATGCAAACCATATGGAAGTTGCTATAAATGTTTCTAAATGAACATTACCTGGTTTTCAGAGCTGTTCTCATTATGCTGATCTGATGAATAAACATTTCCCTAGAAAAAAAAAGTTGCTATTAACATGCATGTATTGTACATGCAGTACATGTGCCTGTTTGATTCTTTAATTGTATTTGTTTTTTTTATATACCGTATACCTATAAACCAACACAAAGAAAAGGACAAGAGGACAGAATCGGTCGAATAAAACAAACACACAAAACGCCGCCTTGCCTCGTGCACACGCGCGCCTGAGTCCTGGCGGAGGCCTCCTTGACCCAAGACGTCGCGAATGCTCTCTTGCAGGTCTCGCGAAGTCCCTGACGGCAGGCTATCTAGCGCTGTCGGCAGTCTCATCAGCAGCTTGAGGGTTTTGAAATTTTCTTGGCTCTGCAAAACAACGAAGGTAGATTTAGCGACTGGAGATGAATTCGCAGCTATTATTTAAAGAAAAATTGAAAGGAAAATGGTCTGCAGCACAAGGTAGTGAAGGAGGAAGGGGAAGAGGAGGAACGGAGGAGGAGGAGGAGGAAAAAGTGGAAGAGGAGGAGCTGGAAAATCAGAAAACGAAGAAAACAAAAAGAAGGAGGAGGCGAGAGAACAAAATACAAATATACGTAAAAAGAAAACAGGGAAAAGTATATTCCTTTTACCTATGTCCTGCGTAAACTTTCATTTTGACAATAATTAATATAAATCATTATTGTCTCACCTCAACAAGGGCATTGATGGTCTCTGAAGTCCGCTCTTGTTCCTTCCGAAGGGCGCACATGTCCTGTTAAGTGAAGTACATTCTGTTATATAAACTCAATCGCACAATTATTGACATGTATATTCATGTATATGTGTGTGTGTGTGTGATATGTATTACATGCCCTCTCTTTCTCTCTCCTCATCTCTCTCGTTCTCTTTCCCCCTCTCCATTCCCCTTTCTCTCTCTCTCTCTCTCTTTCACTCTCCCTCTTTTCTACTATCTCTCTCTTTCTCATTCTCTTTCTCATTCACTCATTCACTCACTCAATGACTCCCTCCCTTCCTCCCTCCTTTCTTCCCAGCTTCTCCCTCTCTCTTTCTTTCATCCTTCTCTTCTCACCCTAGCTCGTTATTCCTTCCCTTCTTCCCTTTATTCCTCCTACCCTTCCATTTAACCTCCCTTCCTCCCTCGCTCTATCTCTTCTCTCCTTGCTCTCCCTTCCGCCTTTCCTTCCTCCGTCCCATCTCTCCTTCTTCCCTCCCTCCTTTACTCTCTACTACCCTTTCTCCTCCCTCTTTACTCCTTCCGTCCATCCATTCTCGTTCCCTTCCCTTCCTTCCTCTATTTCTTTCCTTCCTCTCCCCTCCTTCCCTCCCCCTATCTTTCCTTACCCTTTCTTCCTCGCTTTACCCCCCTCCCCTCATTCTTTTGCCTCTTCCTTTCCTTTCCCTCGCCTTTTTCCCTTCCTCTCTCCCTCCCCCTACCCTTCCCTTCCCTTCCCTCCCTCCATCCACCCTTCCCTCTCTCCATCCATCCATTTCTTTCCCTTTCCGTCCTTCCTCCATTTCTCTTCCTTCTCATACCTTTCCCTTCTTCCTCCATTTCTCTCCCTTCTCATACCTTTCCCTTCTTCCTCCTTCCCTCCCTTCCCCTCCTCCTCCAATCCCCTTTCCCCCTCCTTCCCTCTATCCAATCATCCATCCCTCTCTTTCCCTTCCCTTCTGCCCTCCCTCTCCCTTTCCATCTCTTTTCCTTTTTCTCCACTCTTCCCTCCCTGCATCTCCTCCCCGTCCCTTCCTCTCTCTCTTCTCTCCCCCTATTCGTGCTTTCTCTTCCTTCCTTACTCCATTTTCCCCATTCTCCTTCCCCTCCCTCCACACATCGCCCCCTCTTCCTTTCCCTTTTCTCTCTCTGCCTCACCTCCCTATTCCTATTCTCTCTCTCTCTCTCTCTCTCTCTCTCTCTCTCTCTCTCTCTCTCTCTCTCTCTCTCTCTCTCTCTCTCTCTTCTCTCTCTTTCCCTCCCTCCCTCTCTCCCCCTTCCCTTCCCTTCCCTCCTTCTCCTTCATCTATTTTTCTCTTTCCACTAACCTGTGCAAGTTTCTCGTGTTCCTTTTCCATCTCCTTTCCGCTTTCTCCTTAAATTTACTATACTTTGTAGAGCGAAAGAAGCGTTTCAGAATTAGAGACAAGGAGGAAATAGGAAATAGATAATGATTACACACACACACACACACACACACAACACACACACACACACGCACATACACACACACACACACACACACACACACACACACACACACACACACACACACACACACATATATATATATATATATATATATATATATATATATAGAGAGAGAGAGAGAGAGAGAGAGAGAGAGAGAGAGAGAGAGAGAGAGAGAGAGAGAGACTCGCTGTCCGATGTCTAATTAGCGTTCGAAACTTTCCTTCCAACAAGTTGTACAAGAGTTTCGACCGTTCGGAACCCTACTTTGTCGTCCTGGACCTCTTGTTCCTCTCGTCACAACAGCGTTTCTATATAAACATTAAAAGTTGCGGGTAACCAGAAATTAATGGTAATCGTTGTTATCAAAAGTTATTTTAGTGTTTTAGTGTTGGAGAGAGGCTCTGGGATCACAGTGACTATAAACCTATGCAGTGTAGAAAATAAAGACTGGTACGATAATGCATTGTGGGTAATGACGGCCCCGGAGAGTTCCGGCCGCGGCCTCTTCGTCCTGCTCGTTCTGACAGGTTGTCCGGACGAGCAAGGCAAGGTGTTCTGAACGCAGCAGTGTAGCGGTGTAATATATGAAGTGGGAGGCGATGTCCCACTCCCTCCACTATTATTACTTGTAGTTTGGTAGAGCGTGGTCGAGCGGTAAGGCAGTAGTAACTAAGGTGCTGACGTACTGGAGTACTCTGAAGATGTTGGTGCAGTTAAACTTGTCGCAGTTTTCTTGTCTTTATTCTGGGTAACTGGTACAGAGGGCAAGGCAGGTGCCCAGGGAGGAGCGCGTCCTGCCAAGCCCACGAGGGCGACCGGTCTAAGAGTATGGCACAGGAATTGCCATGGACGAAGTTCGTTTTTAAACAATATACAATGGAAAAACATGAAAGAATATGGATGAACATAAATTCAGAAACATTGGTTCACATGACCGTTTCGTGGAGAGGAACAAGGGTATATGGTTGACATGATATCGGTATGTTTTAACAACCTTACATCTGGTGGTTAGGGGACAGAATTACTGAGTGTTCATGAAACATGAAACACTTGAATATCAATAGTAAAATCAGTTACATACATAGTGATTTAGATCAAGCATTTTATAAGAAACATTTTCAGTATAAACAGGACATATTTATACTTGAAGACAACAGAATAAAAACATTGAAAATGTATGATAGTAATAAGGGTCAGATTAGCGTGTTCTACGGTTACTTTGTCAATGTCGGGCACAGGGCAGGTTGAAGTACTTGTGATATAAGAACACATGGCTTTCGTGGTCTTCGAGGGGTGAGCAGCGAGGGGAGCAGGTCACTAGAATCGGGGGTAATCCCACAGCACTAAAAGCAAATCTGATATCAGAACAAATATACATCGAGAAGTGCCGTCATTCCTCTGGTGCTGACTATTACGAATTATCAATAATAAATAGAGCGAACAGTAATTTGTGTACTGCAGGTCGTGTCCTCGGTAATTTTCACAGCAGTTTACGTTAAAAAATCCTTGGCAAGTTTGACCATGACGTTACTCCCTTTGAGAATAGTGACTCTGAGGTGTCGGGCGTACGATGACTTAAAAGAAGGAAGTAAAGATGGAAGGAAGAAAGGGAAGAGGGAGAGAGAGTGTGTGGGTGAGGACATGAGATAGATAGTTGCATATTTGCTTTAAAATAATGTTTTATTTACTTTATGTTATGAAACAACTCTCGTATCCCCTCATATTTTGCAAGCGAACGTAACCCCCATGTAAACACTAATTTTGTATACTCCTCAAGAATCGATCTGTGCTGCTAAACATTCCTCCGTATTTTATTCACGTTTTCCCCTCGAATGAAACGGATAGTGCGAGGGGGAAGACAGAGAGAAGAAAAACATGACAATTCTGATGGTGTTGGTGATGGTGATGGCGATGGAGCTACTGCTGGCGGCGGCGGTGGTTGTAATGATATTATGATGATGATGATGATGATACAGATGGTTATGATAATTATAATGATATTGGTAGGAAAAACGATGATGACTGATAATGATGATGATGATGATGACGATGGTTATGATAATTATGATACTGATAGGAAAAACGATGATGACTGATGATAATGAGAATGATAATAGGACAATGACTGATTATAATGATAACGATGATGACGATAGAGAGGAAATGTAAACAGAGGAGAATGCCGATAAAAATAGAGAGCAATACAAAAGCACAAGAGAAAGAGAGTGCGTGAGAGAGAGAGAGAGACGGGGGGAGGGGAGTGAAAACGACGTTGTGTGTTACCGACGGCGACGGTGTTACTACATGGCAATAATGAGAGGAAGTGTAAACGGAAAAGAATGCCGATCAAGGTTTTAAAAAAAAAAAAAAAAAAAAAAAAACAGTATGAACATTATGTCACTTTTTATAAGCCATTAGTTGATTTCTTGTCTTAATGTGTTCAGTCTTGTCCCTTAAAGCAAGCACTGTTCTTATACGCTACGAAACACAGACAACTCCTGTACTCACCATAGAGTGGATATCAAATGTGGATATGAAATGCCCACGAAACCTTCTTTGCGGGATCACCACAACTCGAATGAACAGCTGCCGGGGTGCACAGTCAGCGTGTTTTGCTGTACGATACGTTCGGCTCTGGCTAAAGAATGTCGCGAAACGTTCTGAAGCCAGACATGCCGCCTAAACACGGGAGGCGACTGAGAGTATTTTCTCAGAATCGTCCGTATGTCCCTATTCCTTGTCTATAACTTTTTTTTTTCCTTAATTGTTATGTTTTAATATTCTTATTTTTATTTAGATATTATTATTATATTTATTATTTTATTATTTTATTTTTTTACTGTATAGGTTAGGCTTTTATAGTTTTATTTTTGTTTATTTTTTTTTTTCTTCTATTCTTTTCTTTTTTCTCTTTCTTTTTTCCATACAATTCGGAGTGCGATACAAGCGTGAAACAAATTTATTTTTTTCTTTAGTTTAACATCCGAACAGAAATCGCACTTGTCGCAGCTCGCATTCCGTACACTGTATTCCGCCTCTCAAACTTGTGCTTTTATGAGGAATGTGATTTTTTTTTCCGAATTTACCGCAGGGTTTCTCAACAGTCGCCGATTCGTAGGCAAGCAATCACTCGCTCGTCATACAGATACAGTACGTGTTCATATTCGTATACATATGTATATACATACGCAGATACATATACATGTGCATACATGTACATATGCATATGCATATACACACATGCACACATATCTATAAATGTATATATGTATGTATCTATATATATACATAAATACTTATATGTGTGTGTATATGTATATATATGTTCACACACATACATATATGAATACGTATGTGTTTGCATATGTATATATATATATATACATAAATACACATATGTATACATATATATACATATATGTATGTATGTTTATATATGTGTAAGGAAGCCTTTGAAACGCAATAGATTTGTCAAAAAAACAAACGCGTTTTTGTTTATCGGAATTTTTTGCCTTTGTTTTCTCTGTCTTTGCGTATATTGTTTGTTTGTTTGTTTTGTCTTATTTTGTGTTTTAGTTTTAGCCTGCCTGAGAGTCGTTCTTTTTGTTTCTTTTTGTATATACTTTTGTTTTTATTGCGTCTTTTTGCCCGGTTCTTATTGGTTATATTGAAAAAAAATTACCTTTTTCTTATTACCCTATTTATCACAAGATAAATTGCTTGCTGACTCATCCGGAAGGTGTTTCAAATGTATTTATATACATCTGAATGTTTTGTTTTCTTGTATTTGTATTTTTTCTCTTAATCTATATTTCGACATCCCAATTCATATTTTTGTATTGTAATCTGATTTAATTTTATATTATTTTACATGACTGATGACGTCATAGTGTATACATATGACCTAGTTTCCCTCTAAATACAGTCTATATCAGTCAGTGCATGTATTATTTCCTTTTTATACCCGAGGACAATAATTGCCAGAGTCATAATAACAAAGAAAGTTAAGTATTGAGTTCCTGATAATTTTATTTTACTAGGAGCTGGACGTTATCTCTATTCTATTAAGGAAGTCATCAACAAGTGACAAAAGCTTTGAAGCCCTGCCACCAACAGATGATGCTTTTTCAGCATCATCTCTATTTCTCTCCCTCTCTCTATTTATGTCAGGGGTTTTGTGTTGCCCTGATTTGGTGGGTTATGGAGACAATTCTGGTTCTGCTGTTTATTGATAGAATGGTCAATGGGTGTCTTGTACAACATTCCGAACCCAAAACTACCACCAATTTGATCCAAAACATGATGCCTTGATCACTGGACCAACTTATTGAATGACCCATGATGGTGCAATTTTCGTGGGTGTTTGGCCTTTAATATGTTAAAGCGGCATGATATGCACAACTTTTGTAAAGTACAATCAGATCTAAAAACTGCAGATTGAGATGGAAATTGTGATACCAATTTCATCTTGTTCTACCACCGGTAGGAGTATGATGCCTTGTCCTCTGTCGCTCCTCTACAGGCAATTTCCACTTTTCATATGAAGAGCAATAATAACAAGAGAAAAAAAATGTTTTGGATGAATCTGAGAAATACATTTGAAAATTTCCACAGCCTTGCGAAGCGAAGAAGAGTGCATAAACCATTATATTTACAGAGTGGTAAAGATACTTTTCACATTCTATTTAAAGCTTCAACAAAACTTTGCTTGTATTTAAATATCATACCTGCATATTAGGTACTTTACTGGTTTTCTGTTGACTTCTCTTTTGTCATATTAAGAAAAATAACTTCTAATTTTTCAAAACTTTGTCAGTGCAAACTTCGATGAAAAGCGTGTTTTGTAGCGACCATGATACGTCGAACATGCACCAGCGTGTTTGGAGTTTTGGGATACTATACAAAAGCTTCATGTCTGTAAATTTTATAAGCTATTAGTCGATATCCTTGTCAGAATGTGTTAAGGCGGACAACTAAGGCCGGTGCTAAGGGGGGGGGGGGACACGCCCCTTGAAAAAGGTAAATGAAGCTAAAACCGGAATTCGTCGGCAAAGACCAAGATATTAGAATAATCTCCAATTACGCGC